AAGTGACGAACAATCAATTTTAAAATATTTTCAATCATCTATTTCATCCCTCTCAACACACCTTTTACATCATCAGTTCATAGTAAAAATGAAAGAAACTTCATAAAAATAAAGAGAAAAATTGAACTTGTAATATTTATTATTAAAAAGCAAGAAATATTTTTAATATATTATATTTTCATAAATTTAAATGATTAAATTTTTTTAAAAAAATTTATATATAAGTTTAATTAAATTTATTAATTTAATAATTTTAAACTTAATTAAATAAAAAATATTATTAAATTTAGAATTTATTATAATATAATTAATTATTTTTTTTAAATAATAATTTATCTTTATTTTTATATTAATAAAAGTTGAATATTAAATATATTTTAATTTTATATAAATATAATATATTATTATTTTAAATAAAAATATATATAAAAGTTAAAATTATATTATATTTAAGTTTATAATAAATATATTAAAAAATTTTAAATTAATTTAAAACTTATAATATATAATTAAATATAAAATAATTATTTTAATTATTAATATATTTTTTAATAATTTTAAAATATATAAAATAGTTTAAATAATATATATAAAATTATTTAAAAGTTAAAATATTAAATATAATTTTATTAAATTTAAATTAAATTATTTATTAACTTTATTAGTAAATAAATAAAATTAAAAATCTTTTTAAATAAAAATTTTATAAAGTTTTCTTATAATTAAAAAATAAATAAATTATTAAAATTTATAAATATAAAATAATTAATATTATTATTATAAAAAGTAATATTAGAATGTATTTACTATAAATGAGATAAAAAAGTAAAAATATATAAAATTAGCTGCTGAATTCGATATGAAGATGACAAAAGAGTGGAGGTTGCTGAGCCTGCTATTTCACCTGCAAAGTCTGTTGAACATCTTATTAATTAACCTCCTATAACTCTACTTGCAAAATAGACCACATATATTAGCATTGCAGAGGTACAGCAATTGTAGCACACTCAGACATACAAGAATAAGATGTGCTGAAACTAGCTTGATTTAATTTATTTTAATTAGTAGCAATCAAGCGTAGATAATTCAGGTTAAAATCTCGTCATTTGAAATATTTCAAATGTTGCTTGCTTAACTACTCGAAGGTGTTGGCTTTCTCAGCACTCATAAGTTAACTTAAGTCTCAGCAACAATAATCCCAATTTTTATGCTACAAAGAGGTTAAAAAGAATGGAATTGAAAATAGATAAAATCTTTCACTGCTGAAGTTTATCACATCCGCTCTCGCTTTCTTATTCTCCAGACACTTTGTCCGGGAACCAGATATGCCTCTGGGTAGCCGTGTTCAACTTCCACACCCGTGGACTGAGCCTTTCATCTTCTGAGCTGCTTAATCACTTCATTGTACCGTTGGCCAAACAAGAGTGTACCCGCAACAGTACCTACAATGCTCTGATTTCCGAAATACCACCGTTAACCACGGCCGGAGAATCAGAATCTTTGGCATTCCTTTTATCTCTTATACAATTCCTAACGCCTCATCCATTTCTTAATCTTCAAGCTCTCAAAAATAGTTCTCAAATGCAAACTAACCTAAGTCAAGGTGTATGAAAACTTCACCGTCATCACTTGTTTGACGACTGTTTAGAACTCGTCCACGTCTAGCTCGAGGAGTGGACCAAGCATCTGAACCGGAAGATAGAATCACAGACACGGACTAGTGCGCTTTCCCATCTCCAGATATAAGACTCTGTATATTTATCATAGAGATAATATTTTTCACTTCTTATTGTTGTTATGAGCAGTGATGATAAGTTATCCTTAATTCATTTTTTAATACCTTGTCACGGACATGAGATCTTGCCAAGGTGCCCTTAAGGTACCGCTGCCTCAACTACGTCATATGAACGGCTTCTCCGCGGCGCCGCTGCTACACCGTATGACATCATGGTAGCATGTTCATACTTCCCTGCTTTTATATGAGATGGCCGGAGAGATTTTCTCAACAGAAGGTCATGAGAACTACGCAGCTGACGATGCCTAGAAGGCGTCCCTAACCCCTCTAATCAGGTAGGCGGCATCTCCTCATATTCCATAAAGAACGGGAGCTTGATAGAAGCTCTATATAGATTAGATAGTTAGCTGACCCACTGTTCAGAGGGTTAGCCATTCGTTCTCAATATATCAGAGTTACTGGAATACACATGCAATTCTCTATATGATCGCTTGTACCCTTAGTTCTTAGTTTTACCTCTTCTATTCGTAGGCATACGCTCATCTGCTCCTTAACTAGTCAAGCCCACCCGTTCGGCTTCCCATATAACTAACCCTACGTGACGCCGCTGTTGATCGCCCCCGTCTCGGCGCTGTCTCATTCCAATACCATTTCCTTTTTGTGATATTCTGGTGGTTAATAATCAATTAATGAAGAAGGTGAGTGGGACTCTTATGTTCTATTTTATCATTGTTCTCTTTCTATCAATTCTGGTGTGGCGCTCTCAACTAGAGGTGAGATGGAGGGTATGCTATCCTGTTTGCTCAAGCGAACTTTATTCACGGCCTACGGGACGGCAATGTTGATCCAGCAGAACCCATCTTCGAAGCCAGACCTTCTACCAGAGGAATTAGCTACTGAACCAACTGAAGAGCAAGGATTCGTGTACCAAGACCATAGTGAAATAAGCTTGCTTGGTATTCCCGCAAAGCTCGTTATTCCCCCACTTTAGTCCGAAACCGCATCCATAAAGTTTTTATAAACTTTTGGGCATTGTAGTTACCCAACTGGAATGCCAAATAAATCCCGCGGGATTTAACCCAAATCAAGGAAAGGCCAGAATCAAAAAAGACCCAAAAAGTCATTTTCTCTTTTCTGACAGAAGCAAAAGGCAGAAATTGCACCAAAATTTGAGCCTGTGTCATGAGCAGTCAAATCATGGCGGTATCCTCATCTACACCACTCCAACCACAAGCGTCAGCCCTATCCCATGCTGCCCCAGCCTGCGGAGTTCTCTCGCTTTTTTCGCTTGCTGGGAAAACAGCCCTGGTGACAGGGGGCACACGCGGGATTGGACGTGAGATGGCCATTGCATTGGCAGAAGCTGGGGCAGATATCATTCTAGCGCAGGTGAGCAATTAATTTAGATTTTTTTCTCTCCCTATTATTCATTCTCATTATCGTATTGTAAGTAGTTGTTTTGCTCACTTTAAATGCTTGCGGCACATCATGGATGTGTCTTTCTTATCTATTTTGTTTGGTAGCTACCGGAACTCAAGTTGCCTGAATGACGGGTTGAGATTGCAAATTTGTCGCTTTAAGTGATCTAATGCGCACCTTTCCCTGAATGTCATCTCCCCATACTATCTTATTTTCTTCATGATGTCCCGTCATTTGTGAGGTTTGTTGGGGGGCCCTCAATATGGTATGCATATCCTCTATAATGACTCTGGAAGCATATGGTTCCTGTGGGAAACCCCATCGGAGGAAGCGCTTTTTATCCATTTGCATCCGTATTGCAATGCAGGCAGGTTGCTTTTGTCGAGTGAACTGGTGAAGTGGATGCACTGAGCCAGGTAGAGATAATGAGCATTATCTTTTTGTTTACCCTCTTTTTCTTTTTGCCGGCCCTGAGACGGAGATATTCATATTATGCACACACACACACACACACAAAAAAAAAAAGGTTTCTTCACAACACGGAAGAGGAGCAGAGGATCCATGTTTGATGTGATACCTCACCAGTGCTTCCGAAATATGCTTCGCGGAGACTCAGACCAAAACTTACAGGAACCAGCCTTAATTAACCCTTTGGCCTGTTGATGCAGAGAGATCCAACCAATACCGCCACTCGTGATGAAATTGTTAGTCGGACGGGGAGAACGGTGTCGATTCAAGTTGCAGACCTTTCCAGTCGAGAGTCCGTAAAGGGCATAATCCCTGAGTTCGTACGGGATGGAAAGGTTGTGGATATTTTGTTGAATTGTGCGGGGATTCAAAGAAGGTACCTGAGCGAGAAGTTTCCTGATAACGACTGGGATGAGGTGAGTGGCAATACTTAACTTTGAGGCTCTCATCTTCTTGTTTTCTTACATGGTTTTATTTACCGGTTGAGTTCCTTATCTTTCGAGATCATCCCTACTGGGTATGGATGGTTCGAATGATTTGAATTTTGCCTACCATGCGATGATCAATTGATGTCAAGATGCCCTCCCCTCGCTCGCACTTTGCTCTTTGAGCTTGTCAGGATATCCCTTTTCGGTTTGGCTAGAGATTGATAACAACTAGGTTATCCAAGTCAATCTGACGTCGGTCTTCATGCTCTGTCGAGAATTTGGTGCATATCTGCTGGCGCGGGATCCGGCAACTTTCTCTTCTAAACGGAAAGGAGCAATTATCAATGTTGCATCTCTCCTATCATTCCAGGGAGGCATAACAGTTCCAGCTTACGCTGCTTCAAAGGGGGGAGTGGCCCAGCTAACAAAGGCGTTGTCAAACGAGTGGGCTTCCAAGGGGATTTCGGTCAACGGGATCGCACCTGGATATATCGACACTGACATGAACGTGGCATTGATTAATGATTCAGAAAGGAACAGTGGCATTATGGCCAGGATTCCGGCAGGTAGATGGGGTAGACCCGAAGATTTCAAGGGAGTCGTGGTGTTTTTGGCGAGCGAAGCTAGTAGTTACGTATCTGGGGAAATTATATGCGTTGACGGGGGTTGGATGGGCCGATAAGAAGCGTCATTTTACGTTTGGGCATGTGAAAAAGGAAACGGGGAGATACTGGGATAAGTGCTTTTGCGTGGTGACAATCAGTTGATTTTCAAGTAGTTTAGAGGTTATGGTTTGCCATTAGAAGTGGTGCTCTATTTGTTAAATATTAACGAAAGATGGAGCTACTGTTTTTCCTTGGTCGAGTGGGATTTTCCAGTCTCAATGCCCCACACAGCCCACAAAGTATGGATATAAATGCTGCCACATTTGGTTTGGACAATCAGGTCATTCAGCCTTTCTTTCGTTTCCGTTTTGCTCGACAATGATCGAAGTTATGGTGATACGTTCCCGCTTTTCCGCAGTCGAACCCGAAAGGTTGGGTGGGCATGCTGGATCTCCAAAGAGAGGAGGGGGTGACATTTTTCGGAGCTAGGATCTGGCTCCCCGTGTCCACTTTTTTGAATGCTGAACAACCAACAAGATCCTGCGACTTCATTGTGTTCGTGACAAGCTGAGGGAAAACCGTCTTTCCTGGAGTTTCTTGGGAGCGTTTTTGTGGAATCCATCGGGAAATCTCACCAGTAATAAACTAACTAAATACTGCTTCATTCTCACAGTGTAAGATGATTGAGCCGGCAAAAGCCACACACACACACACACTTTTGAGGTTGATATGCTCCGGACGCTGGAACCAGATCTCCCAACATCGATTTTCATGCGCTCTGGTGATTCGTTGGATTTTGCCTTCCTAGAACCATCCCAGCCAGTCCCCGCATTAGGGCCGTCCCAGTTTCCGCAGGGCCCAAAGCCTATAGGCTTTTCACTGGGCAGAACGTCCCCTGAAACTTTGCCCCAAGGGTTGCTTAAATTATTAGCGACATAGAAGCTGGTTGTTTGAAACACGCCACAGTTCTCTGCTTCTCTTGGCTGACAATGATAGATTTGATCTTGGAACGCTTTTTGCCTTTGGCTGTTTCTGGTGAGCTGGAGCTTAGCAGAAGTGGCTAGCACTGGTCTGTCAACTTTCAAGCTGCGGGAGAAAACTCCTCCATGCGTCGGGGATTGGCAGTTATGACAGTTATTTTCCGACCTCGTCAGAAAGCCTCTTGTGTTGGAACGACCTCCGGCGAAACAAGGCTTTTTCCTGTCTAAAATGGCCCCCTCTATTGGGCCTTGATTAATTTAGCAGAATTTCCCACCAGTGGACTGACCTCGTCTTCGCTTCCGGGTCTGCATGTCTCTGGGGCAGTTGAGGGCTGAACCTGCATCTTCCTGCCCGCAAACAAACTCTTTAGATATTAGCATTCTTCAGAGTTCTTCATTTTTGCTTCATACTTCTTCTCTTCTACCCATCCTTTTGTGTTGCTGTCCTTCTCTTTATATCTTCTGCACTGGCTGCTCAGAAACTGGTTATGTGAAGATTTTCATTGATCATCGGCGGCTAACCTCCACATATATCACCATTTTCACCCCACTGTCAATACTTACACTCCATTATTTTCTTCATTGATATTTTCATTTTGTTCTTATTATTCCTGAGGCCAGTGTTGAGAATGTCTGTTACACTTGTTAGTAAGTGAATTCCTGTTCTGACTTCCTCCCTAAGCATGATGGAAGAAAATGGTTAACAATCATTCTCTCTCTACTACAGATATCTAGATGATTCAAACAACACAATAACTCTTACGCGTTCTACTGATCTGCTGTCTTGATACTTTCTGGAACCCTCCATTTCTCCACAGCGCTGACTGGTTTTGTGTGGAGGCCCAAATCAAGGTTGACTACAAATACCCCTTCATCGAAGGCGGTGTATGCTGAAACGGATCCTATCTCTCGAAGAAACATAGAAGGGGAATCATTCTACTGGAGGTGTCTCGCAGCTTGTCACTCTTTGTCGACTCTACTCCTCTCAAGGTCGGTTTGCTTGTTTGCCTTGCTGTCGGGGTTCCATCGACATTTCACTCCTTGAACCAATACAGTCGTTCCGATTCTGCTTTCTGCTTCCAGCCCTCAACTTGGCTTGGGGCTATTGTAAATCGACGTGGGCCGCGGTCGTGTCAGGGCTTTGCGAATTCCATTGCTGACATTATCATTCACCATCTTAAATCATTTCACAGCAACCCAATTTCAGTGCATAATATCCCTGGGAGGATTTTGGCTACATCGTATGCTCTGGATAGCTGCGGGGAACTGATATTGCTACCTAAATACACGATATACCTCCTTTTTGCATTTTAAATGGCAATCACGGAGGGATATGTTCACCCCAACTCTGGAAATACAAGCTATGTTCCACAGTACACTCGGGGATTATTGGGGGTCAATGTTAAACTAGATACCCTGCTGATTCAAATAATATCCGCGTCTCTTGGGGCGACATGCCTGGTCGTCCTGGTTGCGAGATTCGCACAGATGTGGCATGCCTATATGCGTCGAGTTACCTCGTTTCACGCGACCCCTAAATACCAACAATACTGGGCTACAGCAGAATCATCACAGTGGGCTGATATCAAAAGACACCTGATGTATGCTCCGTTGGGGAGGAAGAGGCATAATCGAGAGTTTAAGCTTTCGGAAGCTATTAACGTTGGGACGCTGCCGTCGCGTTTGCATACGATCCTGCTCACCACCTATTTCCTGAGCCAGGCAGTTTACATCACTTTCCTTGATTATAAAGTGAATGAAAAGGCTGCTTTGATTGCAGAGCTTAGGGGAAGATCTGGAGTCCTGGCCCTTCTTAACATGATTCCGCTGGTTATATTCGCAGGCCGAAACAATCCCCTTATTCGCTTGCTACAAATAAGTTTTGACACTTACAATCTCTTGCACCGATGGATAGGACGCATGGTGGTCCTGGAAAGCGTTCTTCACACTGTCGCATGGGCAACGAACTCCGTTAGTGCTGGTGGATGGAACAACACCATGGCCAATTTGAAAACTGTTCAATTTTTTACCGGGGGTATGCTAGGGACCATTGGCATGGTGGTTTTACTAATTCATTCGCCGTCCCCAATACGACATGCATTCTACGAAACTTTCTTGCATCTACACCAATTAGCAGCTTTCTTGACTATCGTGGGAATTTATATGCATCTTTCCATTGACCGTCTCCCCCAGCTCCCCTGGCTACAGTTTATCATCACCTTTTGGGCGGTAGAGCGACTGACTCGTTTCGTACGACTGTTTTATTTGAATTTTTCTCGCCGCCACGGGATGACGCACGTCATGGTGAAAGCTCTCCCCGGAGAAGCGAGCAGGGTGACGTTTTTCCTTCCACGCAACGTCCGCATCCACCCCGGAAGCCACGTCTACGCCTATTTACCTCGAATCTCCTTTTGGATGTCCCACCCTTTCTCCATCGCGTGGGCAGAAACCGGCAAGAATCATATGCCACCTAACTATTCAAGCGATACATCTTCGCGGGGTAATCTGAACCCTTCATCCGAAAAGCGCGAGATCGACTGTAATGACAACCCGGAGTTCACTAGCAACAGATTCCAGCCAACAAACGTGACCCTAGTCATGGCTGCCCGAACAGGAATGACCCGAAAACTCTACCAAGCCGCGCTCGCCTGCCCCAATAAAACTTTGCACACAACCGGGTTCATTGAGGGACCATACAGATCACATCCATCAAGCTTCTTCGCCAGCTATGGCACCGTCGTCCTCTTCTCCGGCGGTGCTGGCATAACACATCACCTCATGCAAACCCGCGAACTGCTCGAAAACGCAATAAAAGGCACCGTCGCTACGCGTCGTGTCTATCTTGTTTGGTCTGTGCGGACAACAGAACACCTCACGTGGGTGCAAGAGTTCATGAACTATATCCTGCAACTGCCCAACCGACGTGAAATGCTGATTACGAAGCTCTTCATCAGCAAGCCACGGAGTATGCGGGAGATCCTGAGCCCTAGCGAGACGTTACAAATGTTTCCCGGTCGATGTCGGCCGGACGTCGTGCTTGATGAGGTTATGCCGAATCATGTGGGTGCGACGGCTGTGTCTGTGTGTGGGCCTGGGGCGTTTGCGGATGAGGTACGCGCGTCCGTCAGAAAGCGAGTAGGCATGGGCCCTGTGATTGATTTTGTGGAGGAGTCATTTACGTGGTAACTAACTTGCAATACGTAGCATTCATTTCCTTGGTTTTTTCTTTTGTATTCTTTATTTCTTTTACACATATTTCCCCTCCTATAATAAAGATTTTTTGTCCTTTTCCCTTTCTTTGTGTTTAAAAAAGAAAAGAAAAAGAAAAAGAAAAAAAAAAATTCCGATATTCTCATTTACCTCTCTTCTCTTGTCTCTCGCAATTCCACTTGATCATGTTAGCCAATGTCAACATGACTCCCTGTAATCTACATTCACCTGTATCTTCCATATCATTGTACTTTATCTAACCTCCTACTACCAACGGCAGACTCAGTGTCGTTTCCTCAGATTTCCTTATTATTATTATTTTTTCCCTTTCTCTCTTTGATCTCTCCTTCGTCTTTGTCTCCCGTTCGCTTCGGACATTTGCTTTTGTGAAAAGAAAAGGATCCCTCCTCACACCTAACGCACAAATAAGGATGCTCATAGACTCGGTACACATTAGACTCAACGGCGCTCCGTACATAGACATCATTACTTACATAGCCTTGGTTGTTCGTACAGTACTTGATCAATATTTTAACTTATTATTATTTGCTCCAACACTATAGGGCGAACAGTTGTGCCAATTGATTCTCGGGTTGGCTAATCCATGTACCTTGACTGGGCAATATCTAAAATGCATCATTTAGTGTCTCAAAGCACCACAGTGAGAGCAACGTAAAACGACTCTGTCAAATTGGACCTATCGCCTTGAAGCCGTTTGCTCCCCAACAAGTCTTCGGGAATAGTTATAGAGCCCCACCGTCGATATTTGAACTTTTCCATGAACTCGTTAGAGGTGTTCGCAAAATCTTAACACACAGGGGATAATTATGCCGTTTTCTATACCGCTTTCAGGGGGTTCTCAGTAAGCGAACATGGAATAACTATTTTCAAGTGATAACTATATTAATACGGAGCAGAAGTACATAAGAAAGGGGAACAGCATGTTTGCATTTCCCGATTCCAAAGAGCATCAACTTGCCACAGCACCATTCAGTAGCTACAGGAGTATAGCTACAGGAGTATTGAGAATCTGACTACCCAAAATCACTAAAGTATACCCGATTGGAATCGCAATACAATACGCACCGCGCCAAAGCTGCCTTCCGCCTCCGATTTTCAGGGGCAGCGGAATAAATACAACGCAATAGAATTCATTGGGGAGATACAGTGTACCGGATACATACAAACATACATAAACAAATGAAACGAATATCGATCGGGCTTGAGAGGATATAAATGTAGTAATAATTTGTCAAAGACAACAGGAAAGAGACAAGCGAAAAACAAGAGAGACAAGGAAGGAGAACAAATATACATATGGTATTAGAAACAAAATGCGAAGAGAAAAACTTCCATCCATCGGAGAAATGACAGATAGAAAAAACATGACGAAAGAGTCAAGATCCCATCATAAAATCACCCTTTTACAAAATTTCCAAACCTGATACATCCGTCAGCCGTCGAACCATCCAACCCATCACCCCTTCCGGCCCGCCAAAGCCCCATAAAACCTCTCCGTCGCACTCAACGTCCGCGCCTCCGCCCCCGTCAACGTCCCAGGCACTGAATCCGGCCCCCTCGCCGCGGCCATGTTACTATCAGGCAAGCCATCGCCTGTATTGGGGTAGTAGGTGCTGCTCGTTACGGGCTGGGTATCTGCACCTAAATTTCTAGGCCTAGAGGTGTCCCAGGTGCGAGTACCATGGTGGCTCCCGTTATCGCTATTATTGTCAAAGCGGGAGCTGCTGTGTGTGTCTGCGAAGGGGTTTTCGACCTGGAAGTCGCTGGAGTTGTATTCGTAGGTTGGGTTTGAGGGGGTTGTATTTGGTGGTGGGGGCGGGCGATAGCCTTTGCTTGTTGGGGCGGTGGAGGAGAAGGGGGGTTGGGGTGGGGTAGTGTTTATGGGGGAGACGGCAGAGGGCGGGGTTGTGTTTGCTGTGGCGATGCGGCTGAGGTTTGATGGCGGGGTTCGTGGGGTTTGTGAAGGGTGGTGTGGCTGTTGATATTGGGATTGGTGGTCAGATTGGGGATGTTTGTCTGGGAGGTACTTGCTCAGGTTCTTGAGAGACATAGAGAAGAGAGGCCCGGATCGTTTGGCGGTTTGTGCATCTGTATTCCGTACCTGGTCGGGCGGAGGCAGGGATTGAGGATGAGGCTGCTGCGTCTCTGGC